TGCTTTTAATATTCCAAATAAATAATTAATTATTACCTTTCAGTATTGAATTGGATTTTTGTAAGGATGATTACTTACGTGGTTCGAACAGTCTACAGCTGACGAAAGGATTACCGGTCATATGTTTCGGGCAACTGCAAACGGGAGTGATACCGCGTAGGTTGCAGTCGGCGTGAACGCCGCACACGCCGTCGCAAGGATTCATGCATTTCTGATAGAGGCAAGCGGGCTTATTCGATGGGCATTCAGAGTGGGTGGTGCACTCCGGTCGGCATGCGACAAATGGGTTTCCCATCCATGTCTGGAACAACAAGAAGCGGATCGATCCCACACGTCCGTTCCGTTTCATTTGGTTTCATTCGTCATCGAGGATGCTTAGTCAGACTTATAGCCTTCGATAGTATAACCGTAATTCTCTATGGATAAAGCGGAGGCGTCTTACTTTCGGGCAGGTGCACTTCGCTTGATGATTGATGACTTGGCACTCCGCGTTCTCTCCGCACTTGCATGGGTTCTCGCATTTGTATGATGACGAGCACGCGAGATGATGAGGACAATCGATGTCGCTCTCACACTCGTGACGACATCCACTTAAGGGTGAGCCTCGGTAACCCGGTAGACACGTGCAGACTGGCACTTCGTTGATCACCTCGCATTCGGTATTCACTCCGCATGGACTCGGTTTACAGGCGGCTTCTATATCGCAGTGAATATCTTTGATAATAACTTACAACGTTCTCAATATTAGGGAAAAGTGGACTCTCTTATGAATTATTATCTTTATTAAATTATTGTGAATTACTATTTATTACAGTCAAATTATCCGAATATGAGGGACAATACAACAAGACAGAAACCGAATGGGTTTGGATAATAGAGGCTCATTCTGTCAGTATTATTAGTATTTATCAATATTATAGCTTATTATAATATAATAAGAGAGTTAATGAGTTGGAACTAGACACGAATTTGTTCGTACGAATAAAGCGCAGACAAATGGATTATTGATATTAAATTTAATTCTTTAATTATTATTACATTTATATTTAATTGAATTCTTCGAAGAAAGAGAAAAAGAGAAGAATAGAAACGAATATTTTTGAAAGACATAAAAGACATAAAGTCTAAAAACGTCAGAAACATTAGAAAAATCTTAAAATAACTTCGTGTAATGTTTCTTTTATAGATATTCATGTTGTTTAGATTAAACGGCAAAGTTTTACGTACGAGGATCGGCGACTTGACAACCCGAGAACGGATCTCCGACGTATCCTGGTAAACACTCGCAGGTACCTATGTGATTTCTGGTCAAGCAGTTCGCGTTTATTCCACACAGACCTACGCAAGGGTCGACACACCTGTTGTTCGTACACACTTTGTTGTATGGACAATCGTCGTTAACTGAAACGTGACGAGGATATTAAATAACATGCCGATTGATACACCATTCAAATTACAACACCAGAAAACATATGAGATATGAAAATATTTATGGCTGATATTATTATTTATGAATACATGGAATTTAAAAGGTAGTAATATTTTTATAACACCAAAAAAAAATGAATATCAATAGCAATAATCAATAATAACAGTCTAATCGAAAATAATCTTGTTAATTCAACGATAGTATTAACGAAACAAATAACACCTTATTAAAACAAGAGATATGTGCCGCATTTGTTTCATTGTTTTATTTTTTAGCATTTATCTTTTGTGTCAAATTAACACAAATATTTAGTAGACCATTTGATGAAATGTATTAAATTTAACACAAATTTTCCTACTGTGTGTCAATAAATTAACAAGATCATTTTTCAATTAGACTGCCAGTTAATACCGTTGATACATTTGTGTTTTCTGTCAAATATAATTCATTTTCATATTCTATCATGATCTACTCATCCTACAAATTTCGAATCAATATGACGCGTTTTTTTCCATTGTTGCAATTTTTTTAAATGGCCAGCGCTGTATAAACTGGAGTTTATACGCGGTATAATTCCGACTTAATTAACAAGAGTTTGCTCTTCCAGGAATTATATAATGCTCGCGGTTCACGTTGATCGCGTTTGTACTCACTTAGACATTCGACTCGCACGCACTGCGCGAGCGGGTCTCCCATATGAAGATTCAAACACGAGCACACCGGCCGTCCCAAGCTCATCGTGCATCTCGCGTTGACGCCGCACGTGTAGCTGTCGCAACCACCTACGAGATGCAGAGTCGGGTGATTCATCGGAGACGCTTCGGTTTTGCGTAATAACTACTAATAACAAAGATTACTAACGAATTAAGCAGAACTTACCGGACGTACTTGTTCGCGACTGAACATATTGGACATAGTGACTACCGTTCACCAACGTGATGAACAGGAACAGGAGCAAGGCTGCAGCTTGCGTGTACATTTTGCCACTGTTCCAAATGTATCTGCCGAAAGAGATGAAATTCCAATGACACTTGTGGAAAGAGAATGCTATTCTCGCGATGATTCTCCTCTGTTGCTGTAAATCAAGTTCTGCGCAATTCTTCCAATTAAAACAATACTTCAATACTTTTCTTTTCGATATAAATCGTTATAAATAAAACAATTTGCTTTCTTGATATTAAAGATGGGTAAAAAATTATCCCAACTACTTGAATTTAAAAAGGCGACTCGCGTGATGACTGGTGAACATTTTTGATTGAATTCTCAAGATGGATGAGAACGCTATTCTTTTACAATGATTATTCTTCAAATCAAGTTCTGCGCAAATCCAACTTAAAACGAGATTTTCCTTTTTGATTTAAATCGTTGAACGAAATGACTCGCTTTCTTGTAAATATAGATGAATAATCGTCCCAATTATTTAAATTACAAGAAAGACGATTCGCATAATGATAGCGTTAACGCGGGAAGAGAACATTACTCTTACGATTTTTCTCCGATGATGCAGCAAATCGAACAAATTCAAATTAAAAGGAGACCTATCTTTTTAATTTAATCATTTAACGCTTTCATGCAACGAGAAATGGGTAAATCCAATTTAATACTAGAATGTAATAATTATGTTGAGCATTACAGTGTGTACAATTGCTTTCAATACTCGGAATAAGTAATTAATCGCTATCTTGTAGGATTAAATTTTTGTAAGGAAAGATCATCCCAATTATACTTAAATTAGAAAAAGGCTCTGAAAGATATGACTGGCGAATATTTTTTAAATTCTCAATGTTTATTTCCATCAATACGAATTAACTTTAATCTTAATTTTATCTTTTTCTGGAAATAGAAAAAGTTTTTTAATATTTTTTTTTATACGCGTTTCTATCAATGTGGATTAACTTTAATCTTAACTCACTTGCTCTTCATCTTTTTTTAATTTTTAGAACTAGAAAAAGATGAATTAGTTGAACCAAGATTAAGAATAAACTACATTGGTAGAATTAGACGTAGAAAGAAAAGAACAAATTAAACCGAGATTAAAGTTAATCTACATTAGTAGAAACGGACTATTTACGTCCACATTATAACACAAAGAAATAATGAGCAACAGACCAAAAACGTGACAAACAATGCAAATAACACTGAATAATAGATAATACGATCAATGAATAATGCATGAAGTTTTTACCCGAATAGACACTTAAAAATGTTTATCCCAGTTCATCCGAATAATGCCCACCTCTGCTTGCAACTTGGTGCTCGATCGGCGCGAGGAAGACTAACCGATCAGTGATCACCTGCGATCGCGTAAATGACGTGAGGACGATCCCAGCCCCACTATCTGCGACCTTCAGAGTCCCCCCTTCGAATTTCGCCCACACACGGCCCTGATTATTCTTCAAGGTATTCGATAAATTTCGCCTACGTATTTTATATCGTTGTTTTTTTTCCGCTTCTTTTTTTCGTAATTGATGAGCATTACGTGCGAACACGACGATTTTCCCATAGCCTGAGTGCGGCGCAGCGCGATTGGAACACGCACGCAATTATCCATCTATCCCGGCCTAGAATTGCCCGGCTATAATGATATTCCATATTCGCGTGCATAGTACAATGCGTCGGTCAAAACAGGTATGAGTAATCACAGCTGCAGCTTCGGTGCGCGGAGTTCCGTGACGAGGGAACCCTTTCGCGCCAAAAATGGATCTTCGCAGACGCATACGCTCTGATACGCTCGATCCCGCTGCTGCAGCGTAGTCGAAGTAAATCCGGTATCGGCTTGTCGTTCAACTGCGAATCACCGTTTTCATATATCGCGTCATACACTCCCTCTCTCCCCGTGCTTCTTCATATCCGCGTTATATGCTAATCTAGAACAAAAATGTCGACAAAGTAAAAAAAAAGTAGAAATGCAAATTGTACCGCGTAAATAAAGTATGGTAATCTCAGTATCACATCGCCCGAATGGTTGCACACTCCCGTTTTGTTGTCGTTTCTGTGAATAGAACGCACAATCCGATGTCGCAATCAGCAATCTTGAGATGAGGAACATAATAATTCATATACGTATATTTAAAGGTCTTCATCGAAAATCATTTGTCTGGTACTTAACATAAAATTCATCTATTCGGTAAATGTGAATTTATTTCAGAAATCGGTCTATAGAATCGCTTTCGCCAGTCGCAAATGAGAAATCAATTATATTTACATATAAACGTAATTATTTTAGAATATACTTATTTTAGAAACAGTCTGTGTTAAGAAGATGGAATGGAATTGATAAATTGGCGCTTTTCAAATACAAGTAATAGTTATATAAAACTCGTGTTATATATTTAGGAAACTTTTCGTACAAATACACATATGCATAAAACTTTAAATAAATGCAAAATACACATATATTTGCCATATAGAACACGTATCTATGTACAAAGTCGATCATCGGAAACAGAAGGTTTGAATAAAACTTCTTTAAATTTGTGAATAAATTTAGCTTTTAATCATTTTTAATATTGTAGTTTTTATTAATGCAAATTAAATAAAATTTTACACTTTAAAATATTTGTTAAAAGATGTGAAAATTAAAGATACATATGCCCTGAAACACAAACTACGATTTTGAGAAGAACTTCCTTCTATAATATATTTGTTTTTTTTTTCAATTATGTAAGTTTCGTCCTTAACATTTTCTTTCGCGTCCAATGAAATGAATTTATTCAAGCATTCCGTTTCAAAGTGAACCACTCTGCACGCTACATATACATATCGATGCTATTTATGTACATGGCGGATCTTTATGAATTTAACATTAATCATGTGTTTGGTGCATTTCTTTTCCATCGATGCCAGTATCTTGTCCTACTTTTCGTGATACAGATATGGAGTATCATGTTAATGTTCATGTAATCAAATCTTTATCTCTTTGAAAATCATAAACTTTCAAACAAGAGATATTCGTATTTTATAAATGGGCTTGAGCTAGAGTATAATTTTGCACTGAAAAAAAAGAGTCCGATAATAGTTACCAAATGTTAAGTGAAATAATTTCTATCAAATGTTTACTTAACCAATATAACCAAAAATAATTTTAAATATTTAGTATTAACAAACAGTTGGTTATATTATTATATTATGTTTGGTAATACTTACTAAATATGTAGGAAATCAAAATTATATTATATATACAGGTTTCTCTCTGCATATACATATATTTGTATAGTATATAGTTATATATTTAATTACGTTTTGTTATATTAATTAAATTTGATTGAACTATTTCACTTAATATTTGATAATTATTACCAAGTTTTTATTTACTCGTTTTTTCAGTGTATTTGTGCAAGATTATATTCACTGTTTGAATTTTATTTGCACTTTGCATCTCTTAAGAACTCTTCGTAAGCAGTCGCAATTTCATCGTCATAATTGTCATCGGGTTCTTCTTCAGATGTCCTGTAAATTATACAATAATATTAGTACATAAATTTCTTAAATATTTTTATTGAATGGTATCTTTCAACTATCTCTCTTTTATTATTTTAATAATATAAAAGAAATTAAAATATTGGTTACTTACTACAACAAACAACACAATTTAAGAAACAAAGTTTTTTAGTAAATGAATTTAATGTTTTAAATCATTAAAATTTGGTAATATTAATTTTGAAATGTAATTTTGATGAAATAATAAATTGTAGAGAAAATGTTCTTTTAAAGAATTTTTTTTATATTATTGTTGTAGCAAATGTGTGATATAAAGTTACAACGTACCCTTGATCGTCTAAATCAGCTTTTGCATGTTGCTCAAGAAATTCGCTTTCCTCCGCAGACAGAATCGAGCCGTCAGGACCATACATCACTGGTTGGTTAAAATGTATTTTCTCCGGTACTTGGTGCTGTATTTTCAACGATTCAGATGAATGATAATTAGACGCACCCAATTGATCAGATTGTCGCTGCACATCGTTAAATAACACATGACTCGACCCAGAATCACAATTGGGCGCGCTTCTACCCCAATCCTTTCGTAATTCGTGAACACTGTTTACCATGTTTCCTACATGCGTATCAACTTGCCCATTATTCACGAGTTCCGTTAGTGCCCGCATCATATTCTCCATGTCTTTATTCCTGCTTTTATCTTTCTCCAACACGTGACCCGCCAACTACGCATTACATCAAATGCGTACATTAGAATGTAGATAAAAATTGAATTATCGTCACTATTATTTGCGACTTACCTTGAGCGCTTGGCATATATATTTAACAGAACTCGACGCTGGTCTTTGCAGTACCCTAGTGATAAATAATACCAAAAGTTCTCCTAAAATGAAAGCATATGACTCATCCATCTGAGCGACCAACTCTGCTAAAAACAATATCAGTCCATTGCATTTCCGTTGATCTCGTTGCTCTTCGGGTTGCTTAAGCCATTCAGATTCGAGTACTCTGGTCTCCCATTTACATCTAACATAAAAATATCGTTAATGTATATAAATCGTATACTTCCAATTACATGAAATACCCTTAAACTTACTGGAAGCACAACAAATCCCTGAACAGCTCTTTGGAAAACATATACATCTCTTTGGAATCTTCTAAGCTGGTGTCAAAATATTTACATAACCGGGCTCCATTATATCGAAAATTACTTTCCGCTATAGACTGAAAATAATATAAAGTCAGTAAAGTAACGTGCGAATTATGTAGTATTCTATGTAGTTTTTATCAGATAAATACTGAACATTGTTTACGAATAAAACGCGTCTTGTGCAAAATTAAATATCATCCGTATTCGGGGAGAAAGAGGAATTTTTATACCCATTCGATTATAGTTGTGATAACCAACTGCAAGCAACACATATTTCCACTCAACCTAAGCTTGTCCATAAATGGTGGAACTAGATTGGTAAACTCGGCAGGATTCATAATTAAAATGTTGATAATTTTATTGAGATGTTCATAAGTTTCTAAGTTATAAGCTTCTTCCTTTTCATTTTGTTGCTTCTCTCTCTAATTCAAATATTATTGATACATATAAATATTGTATATAAAGCAGCTTCTTATAATGAAAAGAAATGAAGCTTTTATCTTGCTATTACTCACATCATCTTGATCATATCCATAATTATTATAATTTCCTACGTCTGTGTCCTGTATATTGCATTGCTGCTCCAAAATGTCTCCTAGAGTACCATCATCCTCAAATGACGGAGGTACAGATACATTTGGCGGTATTTCACGAGCCATTCTGATCCTGTCTTGTATGGAACTCTTTGTATATTGGAGGGGAGGTATTTGCTATCAGCAAATTATTCAGAATCAAAATAATAGAATATTAACATGCTTTAAGATACAATCAAAATAACATAGATAACTTACAGGAGGCAGATATACGTTAGGCTCTGCTGGAGGAGACTGCACCAAAGAACACTGTGACTTAAAAACTTGAGGCAGCATGGATTTCGGAATAAACTCTGCTGCCTGTGGCGATAGCGCAAATTTCTTCTCTTCCTGATTATGCTGTGTCGTCACTGTAGATGACGAAGAGTCGGATTCTATGTACAAATAAGTAGTTTTATTTTAAACTTGATAGTCAACAAGCTCCTAATTTTGTTGCAACTAAAATAATGCTAACTTATACTGGATTGATTAGCAGTTGATACACTGTATGGTCGCCTGAGTCCCCCGCATGAGTCTAATTGTGACCAAACACGATGTCCACGTCCTATACCTTGTTTCATAATACCCTCATCCTTGCTGGTTTTCCTGTCTCCTCTAAAAGAGTCCATTTTCTGTGCAAACAAACTGTCGATCAAGAACAAGTAAAGCTTAGATTCAGTAAACTAGTTTTAAAACTCAATATCTTTTACAATCTCAACAATGTTCTTATCAAACATACTGTACTTTTTTATTACATATATATATATATGTATGTATATAAATATACATACATTTACAATATAAATATACATACATATATATGTATGTATATAAATATACATACATTTTTTAATATATATATGTATACTATATAGACACATATTTTTTGTAAAAAAGGAAATATACAGAGAAAATAAAAGTTTAATAAATTTAAATTTTGGATTCTGTATAGGTACACTTTAAAGTCATTGTACACAAGTACATATAATGGTGTATATTATGGATATGAATAAAAAGAAATATGATGGCTCAATTCAAATAAATCAAAACATACAAGGTTGGGCAACTAGCCAGATATAAACACAAAAGATTATTTAATAATATTAGATTACATACAAACGTTTCGACTCCAATCGAGTCATTTTCAATGTTGAAAACGACTTTCCATTGGAGTCAAAACATTTGTATGTAATCTAATATTATTAAATAATCTTTTGTATTTATATCTGACTTGTTGCTCCACTTTGTATGTTTGTCTTATGGATATGGATTTAATCACAATTTTCTAAGAAAAGTAAGTAGTAACCAAATATTAAACGGAATAAGCACACTAAGTAATTTCCTAGGTAGCATGGAACATTCCAACAATATTGCTGAATTCCACTTATATTATTTGGATTGTTATGACAGCATTTCTAAAAAATATATCGCTTTTTTTTATTGTGGATTTTTTATGAAATTGCATATTTAAAGATTTTTTCACAAAGAATAATTATTATTAAAGCAAGAAAAGGAATATATGAAATATATATTTCACATGAAACAATATTTTGTAATTCACATTTTCGGTGGAGTACAGAAACATCCCAGATGACTACTCAGATTTTTCAGTCCTATGTTAAATTGGACTTGACATAATATTCTTCCTATAATTGAACTAGTATACATTTTTTTGGAAATGAAGTGAAATAGACGTTTAATATTTGACAAAAACAAGAACGTTCGAATGCTATCTAGTTCAGGAATAAAAAAGACTTTATAGATTACTTTTATTAGAACCTTCATAGGTTCCTTTGATTTTAAGATTCTTTAATTCCTATTACACTTGCTAATTAAAGACAATAAAGACAAAATACACTTGACTTTTGCTCATTTGTGAGAATTGACTTGGACTGCGACGATATAATAAACGTGTATAGATACATCGGATAAGCGAAGAAATTCATCTGCAACAGTGCTTCACACTGTGTTAACGGCATTGGTCAAAATTCCTGCTTGTTAAAAGAATAATGACACGTCGAGGCACAATGCCGTATCCTTATTACGACAGATATTGTGACACGATTATCGTTAACAAGCACAATCATTCTACGACATTGCATCGATTGCATCGCGACGAACGAGATACCTTTGGAATATCGGTTCACAGACCGATCGGCAATCCTCGTTGAATCACGAACAGATTAGGACGCAATTAGGACAGTCCGTCACCTCTAACCGGTGAGAATATGCAAGGAATCCGGAAGCTGTGAAGGCCGGTTATACACAGGCATCACAAACGTAAGCCGCATCGGCTACGCATCTCACGATTCTCACGCAGTCAGAACAACCTGAACAACCCAGCGCAGCCTCACCGCCCTCACCTTGCATAGTCGTTAATCCCTACGTCAAAAGGTCTGTTCACGTTGCTCGAAATACCCAAAAATATTTGCATTTAAAATGAGATAAAAGGTCTGTTCTTTTTCCACCCAAAGCATACAAGCATTAGATCTGTTCGCGTTGCTCGCACTTTTTACATTCGGCATCTTCGCTTTCTCTCTTTCCAAAACCAAATATATATCTATTTCATTTTAAGTGCAAAAATATTTGGGGATTTCATGCAACGCGAACAGACCTATACAAGCTTGTTGGATATGCTGGATTCACACTGCATCCGATTTGCGTCGTACGACGCTCTTCAACCAATCAGAAAA